TAAGATTGCAACCAGGCGTGCGCTCGTACACGTGCTCGCTTGAACTCATGAGCGAATAGAATCCAAAACACAAATCACTTTCATAGAGAGATCTCGCAATAAACACAGAAACACCTCACCTAACCTTATCCCCAACCAGGTTTTTACTAGTCTATATGGCCAGTTATAGCTTCTCCAAAGAAGTAAGTATTTTCAGAGAAATCCATTTATACATTGATTGCTGACTGCCTACAACATTGTTAGACTCTCAACTTTAAAACAGATCTATTATATGTATTAATATATACACACCTTGAGAAAAACACCACCTACTTCAGAATCCTGATTGTGGATTTCAGCTCAGCGTTCAACACAATGTCCCCTAAGAAAATGATCAGCAAACTCAGCACTCTGGGTTTAAATACAACACTCTGCAACTGGATAGTGGACTTCTCACGAACGGGCCCCAGTCAGTTCGGATTGGCGGACTCACCTCCACAACTCTAGTGCTCAACACGGGAGCCCCCAGGGCTGTGTGCTCAACCCCTCCTGTTCACGCTGTACACCCACGACTGCATCCCCCGACATGGATGAGACTTCATATGGGGAGGAAATTCATAATCTTGTAGAGTGGTGCTCAGAGAACAACCTACCGCTCAACGTCAGCAAAACCAAGGAGCTGCTCATTGATTTTAGGAAGAAGGAGATAAAGACACACACTCCTGTCGGCATCAGTAGAGCTGAGGTGGAGCAGGTGAATAGTTTCAAGATCCTGGGAATCGGCATCACAGAGAACCTGACATGGTCGTCTCACATCTCCACGTGGTGAAGAAAGAAAGCTAAGATTACGACTGGATTTCTGGAGGAAATCAGACACCAGAAGATCAACAGAAGATCATTGGTACCCATCCCGAGCATCAGTGATATCAGTGAGGTGAGGTGCCTGCAGAGCCCAAAGGATACTAAAGGACAGTTCCCACCTAGCCACAGCCTGTTCACCCTGCTGCCTTCTGGGAAGAGATATAGAAGTTTCTGCTGCTGCACCACCAGATTGCAGAGCAGCTTTCCCCCCCAAACTATACTCTTAAACTCTAGTTCATCCTCAGCACTGCTCCAGTGATGATAGTTTATTTCTGTTAATTATATTTATAATTAATTGTTTCCTGTCTGCTATGTAGCAGAAGGGAGTTATAAAACTCAATTTCACTCTACAACTTGTTATATTGTGAAAATAAAACCTACCTACCTACCTAAATGTTTGCTTTACTGAGAGAAAAAATGTGGTTTCTTGTTTATACATTCTTGATTCAATAACACATAATGTTAGCCTACAGAAGGCAGAAGCCATATGTTAGCTTGCTTTGCAAAACCTTGTTGATAAAACAACAATACTGAAAGGATAGATTAAACAATCCACGTTATATTTTTCATCTACTTTGGTGAACTCGAAGCTCCGCTGTCACCACTGAATGCTTACACTCCCGCAGGCAGGAATACTTCCTTTCAGTGGTAACTAACGTTAACTTTGCACAACATCTGTCAGCTACTGAACCCAGTAGGTTATAGACAGTACCTGGCACACAGGTAATACATGTGCTGAAACTAAACAACAGTGACACAATAAACAATATGTGCATATATTGGTGCATTGTTGGGCGGCACGGTGGGCCAGTGGATAGCACTGATCTCACCCCGGTTGCAGCACTGAAAAACAAATGTGAACTAATAAAGCTGACTCTGCGCGAATTAACCCAGCAGATGCGACACCGGCTTACACAGGGATAGTATAAAGTCAGTCTTGCGCAGAGGTGGACGGCCCCGCCTCACTGTCGTGTCAAATGAGAGGATGAAGAGGGACTATCCTTCTAGGCACGAGAAGAGAAAGAAGCTCAGTGAGAGTGAAGTGCAGGAACAGCAGGCAGGTAAACTTGTGTTCGCTCCTCTCAGAGTCTGATGTCAGCAGGTAACAGTAACAGTAGCCTAATGTTCAGTTAATGTGTAGCTGCTGTGAATTTCTGTCTGTCTGTCCTGCTAACCAGCTGAGAAGCGCAGCTCTTGTCTGTCGTGTCTTGGTTTCTTGCCAGACTGTGACAGAACAATGTTGAGTAAAAATACAACTATTTATTATGTTTGATAACGCAGATGGGCCACAGTGTTTATAAACTGCAGCTCGGAAAAGATGACCGCATTGCACGTGGAAATGCGTTCATATTCACGGCCTAAAAAATTTTATTCACGCATTCCAGCAATAAACATCTGTGAACCAGTCCAGACAGGATGTGAGGGCACTCCTCATACATCATTTTAAAACAAGACAGTGAAGTTTATTTCCAACTCTGGACTAATGCAAGATGGGAAGCAGTGGATTTGCATTACATTGACAAGGGCTTTGCTTAAGTTTGTCAGTGGAGTAAATTTGGGATCATCAGCCAGTACAAGAACAGACTCCAGCCAGTCAGCCCAGCTGATCCACATCCGGCCTCAGTCAGTGCGAGCACAGACCCGGTCCGGACGTCTTTAGCGGGTCCCACAGACCCAGGTGAAACACAGGCAGCCTCAGACATTACCAGCGCAGCCAGAGATGAACAGCCAGCATCAGACCCTAACGGAACAGTTGCTGCTTCACCAAATGACCCGGCAGACTGGCCCCCGGTCTTAACAGACTTCATGAGGACTGAGTTAGTGCCAGAGGTCTGTTCAAAGCAGCTCTGGACTTTTCTAGAAGAGGTTTCTATTCAGGCTAATTAAAGAGGGAGGACTGTAGTGAGAGCATTGTTGTGTCAGGTGTGACTGTGCAGCAGCTCTGTTTTTGTCTGTGGCCGAGTGCTAACGTAGCTGCTAGAGCTTTGCAATATAAACATGTGAAAACTGAAGCCAACCTCGCTCTGTGTGGGACTGTGAGTTGCACTTTATCAGAGGTGCAGACGTTAACATGTGGATTTTTGATGAGATTGTGAATTGAGAAGTGTTTCAGTTAGTTTTGACCTCCTTGTCCAACACAACCCGTGCACATGCCCAAAGTCCAAAATGAGGTCGGTCTGAAGGGGGAAACTACTACAAGAGCAGAACACAGGCTAATCCTCCCACAGTATAGGAAATATCCACTTGTACTCTTCCTTATTGTGATTCACTGTAACTTATAATGCTGTCTGGAGTGAATTTAAAAATAAATACTGTGTATAGATTTTGATGTGTAGTACTTTTGATTACTTAAGTATATTTTAAAACCAGGTACTTTTTTACTTTTACTTGAGTAACTTTTTTATGTGGTATCTGCATTTTTACTTAAGTAGGAAAATCGAGTACTTCTTCCACCACTGTATTTACAGCAATAAGCCAAAATATTACATTCAGGCATCATGCCCACAACATGGGACTTACATAAGTTTGCATTAAGTTAGTCAACTCTTATAATTTCACAGCACAAACGCCCACTTGCTCATCACTCTCTCAAGATAATTAATCAACATCCAACACTACGGAATAACGTTAATAAAACACATGCTTACCTTTCTGTTAATTAAACATCTATATAGCCTCAGCATCCTCTCCCCTGCTTCTTGTTCTGGCAGCTCCGTGTCCATTTAAATAAAGCACTTTTAAATCATCTATTAACTTTCTCCTCCACCAGTATCTCTCCCTGATTTAAAGTTCTGTCCATCATCCTGTCCGGTCCTCACGCTGCTCACGTCTGCTTGCAGGTGCAGCTGCGCGTTAGCATCGCTGCTAACGTAACTTTAACCTTCACTAGCTTTGCTTTGCTCCGAATTTGATTGTTTTATGGCGATTTAATAAGTTAATAAGCTCATGTGCACAAAACGCCAAAGCTTCAATTGATTAACGTATCTCTCTCTCCCCCTCTCGCTCCCCCTCCCTCTCTCGGTCCACGTAAGTGGACTGGGCGCGTTCCATTTCTGTTTGGGCCGTCTGCCGTAAGATGGCTTGATTCCATTTCAAATTTCTGCCAGTCGGCCGTGAAATGAATCCAAAGGCCACTATTTCTGTTGAGAAAGGGTGTTTTACAGCCTGTGATTGTAAAATATGATGGTGCTCATTTAATTGTATATTTCTAACAATATCTGGCTGAGGATATTTACTTATAAAATCACTTTTGCTAAGAGAAGGGGTCATCAAACTGGACTTTTATTCCCTTATGTAATCCCTGCACTTGTCACATATACCATATATATATATATATATATATCATACATATATATATCACATATCATCAGAATGGGCTTTTTATTGTGCATTCAGCCCCCACGTCACATTTCATTTCTTATCTTTATATATTTTCTACACATAATTTATTTGTCCATAGCAAATCCTATAATTAATTTGTAATGTCAATATTTCATTTCTGTTTTATTTCCCATTTAAAAATAATTTATTCTGTATCTCATTGTTATTACCTTTTATTATTTTTATTATTCTGTGTTATGCTTACTCTAGCTAACAGAACAGATTATAA